TTCTCTTCAATTTTGAACACTTCCTTCCCTTGCTTTTACATCTCCATTGTCTGGTTTTTGTTCTTTGGGTATTTTTTTTGAGACAGGGTCTCACTCTGTCTCCCAGGCTGGAGGGCAGTGGCATCACCTTGGCTCCAACTGCGAGGCTGAAGTAACTGATCCTCCCACCTCAGCCTCCAAAGTAGCTGAGACTACAGGTATGTACCACCACGCCAAGCTGATTTGTGTATTTTTTGATGTAGAGATGGGGTTCCATCAGTTTCTTTAATTTTTCCAAGATCTTTCAACTTCCACTCTTGTGGCAAGCCCCTACCCCACCAACTTGCCTAACTACTATTTGGATTTAATTTTTTTTTTAATCCAACAGTAACATTTTCATTACCTTTCAGTTTTCCTTCTAAAAATATTAAAACATAAAACTGGCAAATTTCCCTAAAACCAACCTATGATAAGAATAATAGGAATCCTACTCATTTGGTGATTTGAGAAGTTCAACAAGACATCAGGTATACAAAAGCAGATGCCTAAGGTGAGACATGAAACTACAGAACTTAGGAAAACCAATTCTATCTGAAGATATTATACCAAAAATTTCTACCTGTTTTAATTTTAGTAACTGCAAATAAATTACTTTTATCTTCACCAATGGATCATTAGCAGTTTAAGGAACTGGTTGAAGAAATACTCACAACATAATTTTAAACAGAGGGTAAGAAGGAGGACAAGCCAAATGCCCAAAAGAGAGTCCAGAAACAACCTTAAATAAACATGGAACCGTAACATATGATGAAAGTGGTGTTTCAAACCACTTGGAAAAAGATGAGTTATTTAATTAATGCTACCCAGATACATAATTAGTCATGTGGAAAAAAAATAAAAACATCCTTAAACTCCTTAAACTAAACTCCTTAAACTAAAATAACTTTCACAGGAATCAAAATTCAAGTATAAATTTTAGATGAAAATATATCTACATTTATATATAGAGAGTCTTTGACAGAGAAACACCTATCTAAACAAGTAAATATAGAAGTCACAATAAAAGATGCCAATAAGAGTATGTAAAAATCTAAGATTTCTCTAGGGCCTAATATAGACTATAAAACAAGCAAAGAAGAAACAGACAAGTGACGATGTGGGGGAAAATATTTGCAACAAATGTGCCAAATGGCTAATTATCATATGAAGAGTTTCCACAAGCCAACAAGAAAAACCAAAAAAAGTACATAAGCAACTGGAAAAGGAAAAAGAAATAAAAATGGCTATAAATTATTAAGTTACTCAACCTCATGGATAAAAAGTGCAATTTAAAATAATAAGATACCATTTTAATGTAGCAGTTTGACAAATACTTTAACATTTGCCAACACCCAAATTCCTCAATACTTGCGGGTAGGGAGAAACAGAGGCACTCATTCACTACTGGTAGGAGTGAGGAGTGGTACTGTTTGGAAGCAGTATTTGACAAAAACTAAAAACAAATTTTAAAGTACATATTTGTTTCAATAACGACTGTAATAAAAATTGGCATGATTTAAGTGTGCAAAAACAAGGACCAGGCAAATAAATATATCCATACGATTCAACAGAATATCATAGTTAATGTGTAAGATTTATTAAAACAAGGTGCAGAACGAAACGCTTAATATGATACCATTTGTGTAAATATTTATGAAAGATATAAACAAATCCTTGTATAGGCTCACACATTTTCTGAAAGGATGACCAGAAATTTAAGTTTCGTTGTCCCTTGAGTGCAAGACTAAAAAGCAGCATGTACTTCTTAAACTTTTTAATGCCATGAATTACAATTTTTATCATGTGCACTTTACTTAAAAAATAGAATTTAAAAAGTAAACAGTGTAAATTCTCCATAAACATTTGCTTTTAACTGAAACAATTACAACTAACATATTCAGAATATCTACTATGTGACAAATTTTGTAGCAGGGGCTGGGTCTTCTAAGTATCAAGCTATAATAACTGAAGAATTCAACTGTCTTTCTACAAACACTTATTCTACATACAAATAGCTCTTTTTACACAAAGTAAGGGAATACTATTTTTCCTCTCACCTACTTACTGTCAATTCTTTCACATTAAGGAATAAATTCTCTCAAGACATATTTTCTTCCTTGAAATTATTTCACCCACTTTATTATCACACAACTAAAGAACATTCTTTTTATAAGACTGATTTAATCATTAAACTAAGAATGAACTTAAAATGGATCAGGCTCTATCAAGAAATGTGGGCTCAGATGCTAGATGCTTAAAATGGATTAGGCTCTATCAAGAAATGTGGCCTCAGGGCTCAAGATCCACCAACAAATAATATAGTAATGAATGGTTATAGTAAAGTCACATCAACTCTTCAAGCCCAGATTTCTTCATATGTGAATGTTATCAATTTCATAAGGGTGCCATATAAAGAAATTAAACATTTATATTCTTTGTATTCCGACATGAAGTGATATAGGCAATAGCCCATATTTAAGGAAAAAAAATGCCAAGAGATGCCTATTAGTATTTAATGAGGAATATTACTATTACATTTATTTATTTAACTAAAGTACACACTCTAATTTGTAAACTTCATCCTGAGTTCACTGAATTCAGTTATATTTTCAATTTCCTTTAAATATGTAACATGGAGTCTGTGAATCCACAGGGCAAGGAAAAGTTCAAGTTCAATAATATAAATGCTTGTGTTTTTTCCTATCATCTGTTTCATTGTATCTAAGACTACCACACAGATTTTGCTGCCTCATTCATTCTTTTTACTTTTACTTCTATTATATCACCTTTAAAGAATTCAAATTGTTCCACATTCCTACTCATGTCTTTTACTATGTACTACAATGAAAGTTATGCATGTACATATACCTGTAACAAAAATCATTTACAATAAAGTAACAGTTTTCTTCCTGAGAAGATGGATGTAAATGTTTATTTAAAATTTTCTTTTCTCGAAATAAGCCAGGCAATATTATTATAGTCCATAATTCAAGACAGAATAACTGTATCTAAATCCACAGAAACTAGCATGAATACTACTACTTAGGGAACAATAAAGATAAAATTTAATTCCTCCCCATTTTTACATCAATCATTATGCTACTTTCAAACATTTAAGCATTGAAACTAATAAACATCCAATAATACGCAAAAGAAGGGGAGTGGAGGATCAAGGAAAAACACTTCAAGATCGCAAGGTACATTTCAATCCACTATTCTGTCCCCTGACATGAATAATGATCTATCTTAGAAGAAAAACACCCAAAATATTAAACTAGATACAATTTCTAAACACATTACAATGTACCACATACCAATTAAAATAAATACTGAGCCTTTATGTTAAAGCTATTTCTTAAAAATTGTCTCTAAGAATAGAGAGTAGTAGTTTCATTATCGACACTTCCAAACACTTTTTCTGTGTTTCTCTAATTTGATATTCAATTCTAAACTTTTGTTTTCAAACTTTGAATATACAAGGGGGGAAATAATGTATAAAAAATAATGTAAAAATACTGTAAGATTTTCCCTAACTGCATAACAAACGTGTGCTAAGTTAGGATTAGATATTAACAGAAATCTGAAGTATTACATATATATATATATATATATATATATATATATACTCTAACTTTTGTAAGCCATATAAATTCTATCACAAAATGTGACTTCTCTTTGAGTGAGTTAGTAAAATCTGTATTTTTGTTTTAACATACCCATTTTCAGATTTTAACTACAATAGCTCCCTTAACTGACCTCTATTTAATTCTCGGGCCTTAGCCAACACTTTTTTTTTTTTTTTTTGCCCATGGCATGCTGACCATTCTTAACTAGTATGCTATTTTTTGTATAATCAGGCATTTCTAACTAGTTGGGTTAAAAGCTTAACAAGTCATTGGTTGTTCCCAAATCTGTTTATGTCCGTTTACTTGTTATAGTTCTTACATATCTTAAACATTATTTATGTCTAATGACTATGAGTGCAAAAAGGAACAGTTGTTTCTATATAATAAGTTAAATGTAAATTAAGTAGGCCGGGCGTGGTGGCTCACACCTGTAATCCCACCACTTCGGGAGGCTGAGGTGGGTGGATCACTTGAGATCAGGAGTTTGAGACCAGCCTGGCCAACACAGTGAAACCCCATTTCTACTAAAAATACAAAAATTAGCCAGGCATGGTGGCACGCAGCTATAGACACAGCTACTTGGGAGGCTGAGGCAGAAGAATTGCTTGAACCTGGGAGGTCGAGGTTGCAGTGAGCTGAGATCATGGAACTGCACTCCAGCCTGGGTGACAGAGCAAGACTGTCTCAAAAACAAAACAAAAAAACAAAAAAAGAACAACAAAATGTAAACTAAGTAGAATGACTCAACAAAGGTGAGTTATTCTTTCAAAGGGTGTTGAATTAGATAAAAGTGACATAACTGCAAAATATAAGGGGAAATCATAAAAAGTTAGAAGGAGCCTATACTTAGGGTTTTTCAAAAGTTATCTTTAGACTTTTATTCCACGTTAGAGATATCAAAACTGCAAATAGTAAATCACGTGTGAGGAATATAAGAACAGCTTCTCTCAACTCCACAAAGAGATGGCATTAGCTCAATGTTAAAAAGTTTATATTTTTTAAGTTAAAATTTTAGAACGTTACCTACAAGATGTATTATTTTTAAATTTTCAGTAACCTACAAAGTAACTGTCCCAGCCTCAACAAATAAAAAGCCTTCAAACTTTTTTTTTCCCTGAAGTCCTTAAACCGGTTTGATATACCCACTAGATAAAAACTACCTGTCTATGCAAAATAACAATATGTAGCAAAAAGCACAGTAAAATAATTTTATGGAAAAAAGTATTAAAATGTATATTCTACAAGGGCAAGGATCTTTATCTTATTCACAGATGTATCCTGAACATGTAGAACAGTTCCTGGTACGTGGCTGACACTCAGTAAATATTTGTTAAATGAAGAAGAAAAGGAACTTACTGTGATGACAGCCTTGCTAAGACAGATGGATCCCCTGCAGCCATACTCTGTTTCGTCTTCAGATTTGTAGTAACTCAGAGCATTATTTTTCAAAACTACCCAACGATCCTGCCACCCATGAATGTAGTTTGTCCACTGGGAGTGGGAAGGGGAACGGAAGGGAGAAGGAAACAAAAAAGAGAAGTATTTTAGAAATCCAAACTTTTTGAAACAGCAATGTAATTTTAAAACCAAAACGTGAAAAGTCCAACTTAATTCTAGGCATAAACAGTAAAATGATTACAGAAAGTGAAAAGTTGAGATTTTCTAGATTGCATAATGATTTTCAGTAATTTTTACAATATTATAAATAAACTGTTAAGAAACAAAATATACCATTTTCTTCTAACATTTGAAGAATAAAACAAAAGCCAGATTTTGGTTAAAATTATTGTTTGTTCTCTGTGTGCTTTCATCCTCTACTAAGTACCTTCATGATACTTGTTTTGGTCCTTGTCATAATTAACATATTCAACAGAGAAGTATGTTCAGTTAGGTATGGAGTCTCTCATTTTCTGACACCAAAGACTGCATGAAGCCTTCTAAATCAATGGAAGTATAAAGTCAATTATTACTAAACTCTACTTTTGTTGTTATTCCCATATGAAAATTTATAATGGTCATAACTATATCAAAATAAAAATAATAATCTTTAGTAAGTTGGCATCAACTTTAACTTCTCCTCTACAGAACTGAATAATATTTAAAATGGCCAATTCATTTTCCAAGTTTCTCTGAACATATATTTTTCAAACTCAAGAGTAATAAAACAAAAATAAAATTGGTTTTCAAAAACATATTGGATTGCCTTCAATACCTTAAAAGAGTTTCTGTGTTGCTAAAGTCTTGCTGCACAGTGAAGATCACAATAAACTGGAAAAGGGAGAAATGTAACCTTTACAGGACTACTTATTTTTGCATGTTTTTATCTATGCTCTGGGGTTTTAAGTATAGAAAAATCTCAAAACTATCTGCCAATTCCAAAAACTAATTAAAAATGGATTGCCAAAATATACTGCATTGGCTCAGGCTCTATATCCACTGAGAAATCTTTTTCTATTCTCTAATTAAGCATTTTTGAGATTTATTCAGTTCTTAAATTTTCTTTTATTTTGTATTTTTTTGAGACAGGGTCTCACTCTGTCACTCAGGATGGAGTGCAGTGGCACCATCTCAGCTCACTGCAACCTCCCGGGCTCAATCTTCCTTCCTCCTCCTCCCAAGTGATTGAGACTACAGGTGCGTGCCCCCACGTCTGGCTAACTTTTTGTAGTGATGAGGTTTCACTATGGTGCCAAGGCTGGTTTCAAACTCCTGGGCTCAAGGATCTGTCTTCCTTGGTCTCCCAAAGTGCTGGGACTACAGGTGAGCCACCATCCCTAGCCAGTTCTTAATTTTTCTAAGCCCCATCATTACAACCCCTCTCTGAGAACTCATCCAAGCTGACAATTTAACTCATTCTAGTGGCTCCTAATCACCACTTCCTTATTTCTAACCACTTGTGATGTCCCACCACTTAGACAGAGGCTTGAAATAAATGATAGTTACCAACAAAACTGAATTTACTTCTATAAGGTGTACTTCCTTCCTATTTTCCTACTTCTTCTTTCCTGCTACTTCTGCTCAGAGTCTGTGTATTAGATATACAAACAGATTAGTGTATACAGGATTAAACAGGCTCAACTACTCTACAACTCACGTGAAGAGAGTTTTGACAAGTTACTTTTGTAAGCTTCAGTTTCTTTGCCTGTTGATTGATGGCTGAATAAAATAATGAAAATGCCTAGCATAGTCACAGAAGATACTCCTAAGTGTTCCTTCTCAATATTTATAGCCCATCACCAAAACCTGCTTATCTTTCCTTCATAGTAAACCCTTAAATTTGCCTCCTCTTCTCATTTTCAACTATTCCAATCAAATTACCCAGTTCCTGTATTCCTTACAGGACTTAATCTTTTCTCTAGTATCTTCTGTGTTTTTCATAATTTACACAAGCTCATTTACTTACTAAGCATGTTTGCTTACTTTTCTTACATGTTGACCGTATTGAGTCTCCAGCTCCAAAACTTACATGGACAGCTTCCCACTGACTGTCATACAAATTGTTTAGGGCATTCAAGACCCACCATGGATTAATCTTACCTCATTTATAATTACCACACTTCATAAGGCTAAATTTTGTGACAGTGGTCAAGTTACTTACTCTGTGTTCTTTTCTTTGTCAAACTCTGTCTCTCAGAGTTAAGTTTAAACAAGAATAGACTTAGAACAGTGCCTGGACATAGTATTTTCTGAATCTGAGGAAGAGTTATACATGGCTAATGAAGCTTAACCTTCAGCATTTCTCACTAGAACAGAACTCTTTCAATATTAGAGAAGGGACCCCAGCAATTATGTATCCATAATTCAATATTATGATCTTGTAAGAGGCTGAACAAACTATATCAGCTTCAGGACTCTTTTCTCAGTAAGCTGTTAGCTGTTATTATGACACCTGGAAGACAAGTTTTTTGTCTTTTCTCTGCTCTCATAATGTTCCCTCACTCTTCCCCATTTAACAAATACAGACAAGGCAATATACTAGACATTGCAGGAGAAGTGAATGTTACTGTGGCAAACAGGCCAGCAAACACAAACACAAGAGAAAAAAATATATATTTAGAATAAAACAAAATGCTATGGGAATTCAAGTGAAGGAGGTCTTGAATGATGGCAAAATACAAAAAGGCTTTACGGAAAGGACAGTATTTGACTTGGACTCTTAAGGATGGATAGAATTTCAAACAGTTTGGTGTGTGCAAAAACAGAAGGTAAACCATGAAGGATGGAGGAAATTCAGAAATTGAATGAGATTATTTTATCCAGCCTTAGTTGCTCTCAAGTCCTACTAAGGCATGCATCTTTTCCCCACCATGATCCATCACGATACTTGTTATAACCAGATAGAATTATTGTCTATCAAGTATTTTTGGAATCTATACACTTAAGTGATTTATAAGAAATATGCTTCATAGGTATTTCCATATATTTCAGATTACCATATGGAAAATACCCTTTGAACTGGTATATTTCTAATATAAATTTACCCAAGCCCATTCCAAATCCACCCCATTTTGGGGGATAAACGAAACAAATTGTACCGGGACTTATTTACATTACTCAATGGAAGGAAAAGAACAAAAGCCGAGTTCTGATCCTTGTTTAAATTACCAGGTGAATATGAAGAATTCAAAATATATAATTTACATTTAAAAACATGTACCATACTCAGTATGAGTATATATATTCAATTTAGAATACCCTTGATTAAAAAGTTCCCAGAAAACACTGTATATAACCATAAATTGGTAAATTCCAGGAAAATTTCCTTCATAGCTATTAGCAAGAATACCAAAAGCTTTATTCCTATTCATTCTACATAAGAAGCAACAGTCAAAATTTAAGTTATTCACCTTCCACAGAGGTGATCAAATGCATTTGTATGCATTTAAATATCGAGATTGGTCTTCCATTTTTTGATCTATAGTATACCTACTCCACATAAAGTAAAACTCAGAGCACTGGTGACTTTTTCCCCCAGTCACTCCATTCCCTCAACCCCCCAAAAAGTAATTATCAGTAGGTCAAAATTACAATTTGTTTTGTAAAATACTCAACACATCACAATACTAATATGGCAGTCAGCTTCCCATCTTATGAGCAGTGATGAAACTATCAAAATCACTGAGAAGCAAGTAACCCACTTCCTATTATCAACTGAAAATGTGTACCTACTACACAATGTGTTCAATAGAGATTCCTAAATTACAGGATACATTTAATGTAAAGAAATCCTGAGGAGCTTCTCGTTACTGAAAACCTTGCATTGAAATTTCAAGAATGATCACAGCATCAATATACAACTAATTTTTCGGCTATACAAATAAAAGTCAACACTTGCAATCCTTAGTTCTGACTACTCATGCCTTTTCTGGTTCCCTTCTCATTAGCTTTCTACAGACATTATAAAAGCATTATATTAAACAATTCCACAAATAATGTCCAAGTGATGTGCCAAAGTATGAATACTGGAAACAGGGTGATTTCTTAATAGCCAGTAGCTGCACATGACATAGTATCTTATGACCAGCTTGTTGAGGGACTGGCCCAGCTCCCCCTCTCCAAGTTAACTGCTAGCTCCAGCCATTTCTAAAAAAGTTTAACAGGAAGGGGGAGAGAAGTCCAAAAGGCTATGTGAATATTCTTATAGCAAAAACTTAAAAAAAAAAAAAATCCCAACCATGTAATATCAAGAGATCACCCATCTGCAGTTCTATAATGGCTGCTTTCCTAAAATTTTGATACACGGATTTTAAAAAATACATAAAAGGTAAAACATCTTTTCCTTACCCTGGACCCCTTACCGCAAAAAGAGTTTATTATTAAATAATGCTCTTCTTCCTGGACTAAAGATCAGTCTCCTTTCTCACATGTTTCAAGTTACTATGAATATTTCCTGTACCCATCACGTGCCGATTCAATATCTCTATTCTGAACTAAGGTACAGGGTGAGGGCGAAAGTCCTCCACATTAATCTGTCTCACTACATCTAACCTGGCGAGTTCAACACCTCAAATTTCAACACCAAGCCGAGTCGCTCCGGCTTCTGTCGAAACAGTTGCGTCCGCAGTGCCCCCCAACCTACTCGGCTTGGCATCCTCAGACAGACCAACCTCTTTTAAGAGGTCCGACTTGAACCGCTCCCGTGCCCAATCGTTCGGACACCGCTGAAGCCCAACCCGGATTCCTTACACCCGGGACAGCTGCCGCCCTAGGTCCCAAGGCACGGCACGCATCTGGTCTCCCAAACTGGATCCCGGGTTGATACACCCTTTCCCTGGTCCTCGGCTGCCCCCGACGAGTCCTCGGGCAGCAAGGACAGGCCCCCTATATCCCCGCCTCATCCCTAGTCGCCGCAGCAGTACTCAGCCTCGCACCCCGGCACGTTCCGCGCCTCCCGCCAGCCCCACCCCACCGCCTCAGCGGGTTGCCTCGCGGCAGGTGAGTCTGGCCAGGGGTCCCCTGGCACCACCGGTTGCTCACCTTACTGAGGACCCCGCAGCGCTCCACAGGCGGCCCAGATTCCGTCTCTGGATCCTCCTCCGAGCCCGACGAGTTCCAGCTCTGATTATCCGACATGGAGGCGCGACAGCCGAGCAGGAGACCGGCCCCCGCTCCCTCAACTGCGCCGGAGGAGGCGCCCAGTCCTCGGGGTGAAGGGTCGGGGGATGGCGAAGCGAAGAGTGCCAGCTCCGCTGTGGGGGGGAGCAGGAGGAGGGACGAAGTCCGCTCGCCGCGCCGCCGCCGCGCCTGACACCGAGCGGAGCGGGGAAGGAGGACGAGCGGTGAAGGAAGCCTACCCTTCCAGCCGTCAGCCGCCGCCGCCGCCGCCGTCGCCGGGACCCCTGCGTTGCGCCCGGTGCTGCCACCCGAACTTAGCCCCCTCGATGCCAATTTCAAATAGCGAAGGAAAAGGGAGAAGAAGGGAAGAGAAAATCCGGCCGCTGAGACCCGAGTCCACTCACACCTCCGCTACCGCCGCCATCTTGCTGCCTGGCCCACTATTTACCCTCCCCTCCCCTGTCCTTTCCCCTCCCCTTCGTCCTCCCATTCTCCCCTCCTACTCCCCGCCCCGTCCCCCTCCCGGCGTCTGACGCGACACGCCAAGCGTGCGGGATCCTCCTCCCGCACCCTACCTCCGGCTCTCCCGGATGACGAGGGGTAGAAAAGTAGGAGGAGCGCAGTAAGGAGAGGGCGGGATAGGGATGCCGCTGTGCTGCATTCTGGGAAGGGCGTTGGTTCGTCGCTCGCCCGGCCTCCTGGGAGTTGTAGTCGCGATCCTGAGGTAACGGGTGAGTATCCCGCGCGGGGATCGCTTGTCGCCTTGGGGACTTGTCAGTCGGTGGGTGGGCTTCGTTTGACAGTTGCGTGACCTGCCTCTTGGCCTCGCTTCTATCCTTGCCTTGTGTGTTTATGACGAACCCTCCGGGCTTGCGGGCCAGGACGTGAGAGAGCTTTCTGCTGAAGATGACGGACCTGCGTTGCAGGGCTGCTTGTCGAAAGCCCGGGAGCGCGTAGCCGCTTCCGCCTCAACCACGGGATGGGGTTTTGTGAGCTCCTAGTGCCAAGGGGGTTTTCTTTCCACCAGACCACCGCTGTAAATCTCGAGGGTCTTATCCATTAGAAGTTAGAATTCACATTTGACGTTTAAAGGAAGAATTTCCTTAGTACCTTCTGACAAGCACGCACTTCGCATTTTTAGATTTCTAGAATTTTCTTTGTGGAAAGTAATTTTGAGGTTGTCAGAGAATAAATAACGTTAGAAAGGTTTTTAAAGTAAAACAAGAATGTCAGATGATAGCCTGGGATTTTCTCTTAGTTGTAAATGAATATCTTACTGAGAACCACGTTAAACATGCCTGCCCCTCAAAGATAGGAAAGTTTGGATATATAGAAACTTTCTCATATTAGAAATACCGAAGTGCAATGGTTTTGTGTATACAGGGGATTAGGCAATAGGTGGCTATTTTTAAGACTAGGGTTGAATTAGCAGAAAGACCAAAAGAAGATCTAACAGCTCTTGTCAGTTGTCAAGGATAACTTTGATGGTGAGACCTTTGACTTTGTAGCTTCAGTAATTTCCTCTCGTTAGCTATTTTAATATAGTCGAGTTCCTGATAATTGCCAAGAGTAAAATTTGTTATTAAGCCTTAGAAAGAATACCTTTTTTACTACAAGGATGGGACGAAAGGAGCGAAATTTCGAGTCTAAGGGAAAGCGCTAGCCGAGTGCGGTGGCTCACGCCTGTAATCCCAGCACTTTGGGAGGCCGAGTTGGGCGGATCACCTGAGGCCGGGAGTTTGAGACCACCCCGTCTCTACTAAAAATACAAAAATTAGCCGAGCAGGGTGGCGGGTGCCTGTAATTCCAGCTCTTTATATCCTGGTTTCAAATCTAGGCTTGATGACCTTTTCCCATATCCCAGTCTCCTACTTTTTACTTCCTCAATGGGGGATTAATTACGATTCTAAATGGTTGGTAGCATGAAGCTAGGTTATCTCTATCGTGGCAGTGGATATTTAAGTAGGCATTGCCAATATGTATCTTGCTTTCTTTTACTTTCTTCTTTTTCTGACCATCCACACTCCATTTATATTGATGAATTCTTTTACTAATGTCAATTATTACTGTATTATGCTCATACTGCCATGTCTTATTCTGCAGCTTTGATCCTTAAGGTGACTTAGCATATCTGTCTAAGACTCCTTTATCTGTTGATTTTTACCATTTAAGTTTCCAAAGACAGCTGTATTTTTGGAAAAGTGGGAGGGAAGAGGTAGATGGGGGTACTCATTGATACCTTAATGCACTTCACAGCTACTTGAGACTATGTCAGATCCCACAAAAAGTTCTAACATTCGAGAATAAGACAGTGATTTCAGAAATGGCATTTCAAAGGGTGTGTAGGCCACCCTTTTTATTCTGTTTCCTGTTATACAAATGAGAGCCAGGCTAAGAATGTTTCATTGAGAAATATTCTTACTATTCAATGAAATTGAAAATATATTCCCTTATCTTTTACTCATATCTGTTTGGTTTATGGGATAAAAACTTGTTAGGGTAGTTGGTATTTCATAGGCTTCACTATAACATTGAAAAACCTTTTAGTCTAAAAATCACACAGTACAGTACACTGATGAACAGTATTAGTGCCCACTCTTGGCATGTACACATGTTCTTTCTTTCGTTTTTATTTTGCTTAGCTTTTGAATTGCTTTTCCTGTTAGATTGAGAAATTATTTTATTAATATTTTAAAGGCATACTATATAAAGCAGTGTGTTGGTATCTTATGTATCAGTAGAATCCTCATGATAGTTATTTTGTAAACGTGTTTTGCTTCCTGTTTTCTTCTAACCCTTTTATTGTTTCACTTCTATAATTTCAAATCCTTTTCTTCTTAGTCAAATAAGTTGAAAAAATATTTCTATAGAGCATACATGTTGCTATGGTGATAGCTTATGAAAATATAGTTTATCCCTGTTTAAGATCTTTATTAAGCTCTTGCTATATGATCATCTGAGATACTATAAAAGTAAAATATAAACCACTTCTGTAGAGTCATTGTTTTCTAGCATTTTACTGTCTAGGTATTCTGACAATAATTATGTGTAGAAAGTGAATAAAGATTTTAAATTGCCTGTGACGTAGGAGGTTTTCAGTAAATAATAACCGATGAATGAAATAAGTTTAGCCTGGTTGATAATTGAAGGAAAGTTGTAGGAACTGCCATTAACAGGGCCCAAGAAAAAAATCACTAACGTGATTAAAATCAGTCAGAGACCAAAGAATCAAATAACATCATAGCTTTTTGTAAGTAGCAAGTGTCATTTGCTAAAGGCCTACAAAATGTCAAACATTGTTTTAGGTTCATTTGATTTATTCACTCTTCACAAAAATCCTGCAAGGTAGACATTATTCTTATTTTACACATGAGGAAATTAACGTTCAAAGAAGTTAAGTAAATTGCCCAGATCATCGCTAGTGAATAGTCTAGTCCAGACTTTGGACCTTAGACGCTTGTAATACATAACTTTTAATACGTATAGAATTGATTTTAGATTGTCACTCAGGCATAATGGTACATACCTGTAGTCCTAGCTGCTCGGGGTGCTGAGGCGACAGGCTAGCTTGACCCCAGAGGTTTGAGGCTATAGTGATCGTGCTAGTGTACTCCAGTATAGGTGACAAAGTGAGACCCTGTCTCAAAAAAAAAAAAAAAAATTTCCAAAACACTATTATCCCAAATTATTTTAAATGATTAAACGTTTGAGAATCTGTCAGAGCCAGATAGATTACATTCTAGGTGTGTTACATAGTTTTTCTTTAGTTTAACAGTTTTCTTAAAAGAAAATTCACCCACATACATTTTTAAGGTACAATAACATAACAGCCAGTTTACAATTCTTTTCTTGCTAGTGTGTATTAGCAAGTATATGTTCCAATTACCCATAAATAATTTAAATGATCTCTGGAGCCTCTTGCAACTATCACCTTGTCTTGTGTTGCTGCTAAAAGGAATAACGTGTTGATTTTAACATTTAGTATTATCAAGAAAAATAGTCATTGTCATTTACTATCATTTTATTTTTTATATTTTTGGTCATTTTATGAATAGTCCTGAGAAGCAGCAATAAAGGAATAGCGGAAAAACAACTTTATTAGAAATTATAATAAAAATATAGCAAACTCAAATTTTTATTCCATATATTCTTGAAATAGGGAGGCCTCAAGCAGTCCTCCTGCCTTGGCCTCCCAAAGTGTTGAGATTTGACGTGAGCCAACATGCCAGGCCCGATATTCTTTTCTCTATGGCTAAATTCCATTGTGTATATAGACCACATTTTCTTTATCCATTCATCCACTGATGGTTGATTCCATAATTTAGCTATTGTGACTACTGCTGTAATAAACATGTGAGGTCAGATAGCTCTTCAATACATTGATTTCCCTTTTGGATATATATCTAGTAGTAGAATTGCTAGATCATATAGTAGTTCTATTTTAAGTTTTCTGAGGAACCTCCATACTGTATTCCATAGTGACTGTACTAATTTACATTCCCACCAACAGTGTAGCAGGGTTCCCCTTTCTCCACATCCTTGCCACCATCCATTATTCCCTATCTTCTTAATAAAAGCCATTTTAGGCTGCCCGTGGTGACTCATGCCTGTAATCCTAGCATTCTGGGTGGCTGAGGTGGGAGGATCCCTTGAGCTGCTCAGGAGTTCAAAACCAGCCTAGGCAACATAGTGAGACCTCGTCTCTATTATAATAATACTTTAAAAAAAATTTTAAGCCATTTTGACTGGGGTAAGATGATACCTCATTGTGGTTTTGAATTGCATTTCTATGATGATTAGTGATGTTGAACATTTTTTTAATTTAACTCTTGGCCATTAGTATGCCTTCTTTTGAGAAATGTCTATTTTGCCCATTTTTAAATCGAATTATTTTTCTTTTATTGAGTTGTTTGAGCTCCTTATGTATTCTGGTTATTAATCCCTTGTCAGATGGATAGTTTGCAAACATTTTCTCCTCTTCTGTGGGCTGTCCCTTCACTTTCTTGATGATTCACTCTGCCGTGAAGAAGCTTTTTAGCTTGATATAATCTAATTTGTCTACATTTGCTTTGGTTGTCAGTGTTTTTGCGGTCTTACACAGAGAAGTCTTTGGCCAGGCCAGGAGTTGTGCCTCATGCCTATAATCCCAGCCCTTTGGGAGGCTGAGGCACAGGATTGCTTGACCCCAGGAGTTTGAGACCAACCTGGACAACACAGGGAGACCCTACTTTCGCAAAAAGAATTTTAAAAGTTTAAAAATTAAAAATAAAATTAAATAAAAAATTTAAAAAATTAAAAGTTTAAAAAGTTTAAAAATAAATAAAGTTAAATGAATAAATAAAATTAGCTGGATGTGGTAGCACACACCTGTGGTCCCAGCTACTCAGGAGGCTGAGGTGGGAGGATCGCTTGAGCCCAGAAGTTCAAGGCTGTAGAAAACTGTGATTGCGCCACTGCATTCAAAGCCAGGTGACAGAGACCCTGTCTCCAAAAAAAAAAAAAAACGAAAAAACAAAAAAACAGCATTTGGCCAGACCTATGTACTGGAGTATTTCCCAAATACGTTTTTCTAGTAGTTTCATAGTTTCAGATCTTAGATTTAGGTTTCTAATCCATTTTGATTTGATTTTTGTATCAAAAATCAAAAAGAGATGCGGAAGAAATATCTGAGAGATAGTCTCATTCTTCTGCATCTGGTTATCCAGTTTTCCCAGCACCATTTATTGAAGAGACTATTTTTTTACCATGATATGTTCTTGATTGCTTTGTCAAAAATTATTGGTTGTAAATGTGTGGATTTATATCTGGGTTCTCTATTCTGTTCCATTTGTCCATGTGTCTATTTTCTTGCCAGTATTATGGTCATTTGGTTACTATAGCTTTGTAGTATATTTCGAAGTCAGATAGTGTAATGCCCCCAGCTATGTTCTTTTCCCTTAGGACTGCTTTGG